GAAAACCTTGTCGAAACGTTGTACATTTGCTGTTATGTTAAACTTATATTAAAGTTTTCTTCATTACCCATTCAAGCCGTCTCTAGGCATTATTTTCCATTATAGTTGTAACCTGAAACCATCATAAATTCCTTAGAAGAACTTTCCAAACATGCTGTTTAAAGTGTTTTATCACCAACACCATGTCAATAATTTGCTGGACTTTGTTGGAGATGCTTAAATAGAGATATGTTTCGTCCAATGTGACAACATTCTTCCATTTGCCACATGCCAAGTGCCACTTGTACAGCTTTCAAAATTTGGCTATTTACTTTGGGAGGAAATACAGAACACTACTAATGACAATTTTGTAGACCTAATTCTATGTGAATTATGTTACAGTTTTAAAGGAATTTCCTACTTCAGCTGCAATGCATCATTGTGTTCTTGAGTTATTTCCAGTAATAAAATATTTAACTCTCTTCACTACCTCCAGTGTATAGCATGTAGCTGGTCATGCAATATCTGTTTTTTCCCTGCTTAAATCATGCCTTCCCTTGCTTTACCAATATAGTTCAATACCACACACATTCCTTTCTTAGAATAATAAAAGTTTGTGTCTTGGACAGAAAAACTGTCACTATACATTGTGAACGACTCTCTGTAAAAAATAAAACCAATGACTTTTTTCCTTTCAATACTTTACTGTTTGACAGGAGATACATATTAAACATATAGAAATAAGTAAAGCAAAAACTATAACTCACTTTTAATATTTATTCCTTCACAAGTTGTGAAAATTATTAGTATTTTTATGAGAGTTATTTAAGAAATGAGATATGTAATTTTAAAGATTAAAGCATAAATAAAATATATTTCTTAAATTTTATGAAATAAACAAGGGTATATTATATAATGTTTTACTTGATAATTTGTAATTTAATAAACTTGTATACTTTTAGGAAAGATGTATACACTTTTTGCTTTGCATGCTACTGATAGATGAGTTTAAACACATACAAGAACATCCTCAGCAGTGTGTGTGTGTGTGTGTGTGCTCACTGATATAGACAAAAACTAGAAACTTAATTAAGGTTATTAGTAAAATATGTAAATCCATATACAGTAACTATGTGAATTATGATTACCACTGAAAGGCAGAAATACCAAACAAATATCAAAAGTCAATGATAATGATGCATCATTGAGACTGTTTCTATGATTTTCGAATTCTAAAAAATTGTTTTACTATGCGATTAGTTGTAATATCAAAACTCAGTGATGATGGTAATGTATCTCTGGGACTTTTTCTATGACATTGAGTGCTACAGAATATTTTTATCAAGCAAAAGGTTCTACCAAATTAACTCTCTGGCTACTGTAGTATGAAGTCATAGTATGCATTTTATATCCTCTTATTTAATATAAACTTTTTGTATACAGTGCATGTAGTTTTAACATAAAATGTTGGTCAAGAAAGTAGCTAAGTTTCTTTAGCCCTATTTATGTACTGTTCTAGGTTATTCACCTAAGATATCATGTGTGCCTTTTCATGGGAAAGATTTCTATAAATTTGAATACTATGAAAAACTTTGCAGCGACCTCTTCTTCTGGTAGATCATGTGACACCTAGAGGGAACCTCTCTTATTTTTCAATAGGAATGACCAACAGTGAAGGGGGTAGCACATGCATCCTCAGAAGTATAGTGTTATTGTTTCAAGTATATAATGCTGTTTTCTCAGTCTGGAACAGTTCAATAGTTCTTCAAACAAGTTCACCAGAAAGAATGTTTGATAAAAGACTCAAGATATGTAAAGAGGAAAAAAAGTGCACTTTGTTTGATAATGTTAAAAATAGCCAAAAATATAATGAACCAGCATGTTCAGTAAAGATACTGAAAAGTGCTTTACTGATTACTCCTACCTTTTATTTCGTCCCGGTCCAATGTACCCCTGGCGTCGTCGACAAACAAAGACACTTACTACAATTATCACAAGCAAAGTAATGCTTGATACACAAGCAATAATTATGTACAGCATGCTGTTTGTAAGTCCACTTCCATCTATTGCATTAAGACAAAATTATATACAATGATAATTAAAACAAAAAAATACATCATATAAACAAAAAATTTAACAGTCAGAAAAAAACTATAAATAATTCTTATTTAGACATATCTATCCTTTCATTATTCAAACAACTTTCTCCAACAAAACTCTAGCACTGTATATTTACAAAATTTCATCAATTCTGATTGATAATTTACTATATTTAAAAAAATTTAAACTTTAAAAACCTTTTTTAGTGTAAAAAAATCATAACTTATCACCAACTAGATATATAAAAACTAATACAGAAATAAATTAAATATGAACAATTAAAATTTTACTTTTGTGTAGTAGCACATTTTGATTCACATATCCTTTTCAGCACTATATTGATAATAAATATAATCAGTAATATATGAAAGAACTTTGTATTTTGCTTGTGCATAAAGAAAAAAGTCAGCAAAAAATATATATATATGCATAGGCAACAGAACTGTAGAGCTTCCTCATACTTTTTTTTAAGATACAAAAAAAGATAGAGTGAGAAAAAATACTGCTTAACTTTGGGTCATGCTGCACAAATTTTAAAACAGCTAACTAATATACCTTAGCCTTCAAATAACTGTACAATGATTGTTATCTTGTGATAGTTAGAACAGTTGAAACGTGCCTTAGTAGCATTTACCTGTGGGTTAACCCTCTAACTCAGTTGTTAGATATTTACAGAAATGTTTTGAATTTATATATTAACAAAGGGGGTCAGAAATAATAGTATGTTTGCATACCACACTAGCAATTACTAGTGGGTTAACCTTCTAACTCAGTTGGTAGAACACTTGCCTGGCATGCAAGGGGTCCTGGGTTCAAATCCTGGATGAACCCAAGTGTTACTTATGGTACTTATAATTATTTCATTTTCAGTTTTGAGGATATGCATGCATGATTGAACCCAAGCACGCATGTATGTGAGTACTATACAAACTGAGTTAGAAGGTTAACCTACTAGGCTAGTGTGGTATGCAAGCATACTATTTTTTCTTATCTCCTTTCTTAATATATAAATTTAAGAAAATTCTGTAAATACTAAGTAAGCATCCTTAATACAGAACGCTTGTCAAATGAGTCATTAAATTCCTCTGACTCTAGTTACTCGTGGAACTAAGTCTTTCAACTAGGGTGCCACAAGTACTTTCTCATGGAAAAGATTGCTGTAATGTATTGCAACATACAAATTGACAGTGATCGTTTCTACTGGCAAGTCAGGTAATGACTCGGGGATACAACATCCTTCATTTTGAAATGAGAGTGACTGTCAGTCATGGGGTAGCACCTGCATTATAGTTATTAGTATATAATATCACATTTCATTAGTCTGGAACAATTCAAGAGAAGATTTTAAGGTATAAAATAGATTACAGAGATTTCTCTTCAGTCAAGGCCCCACAATACACATTTGTTTTCATTTTTATTCTGTTTGATATGGAAATAATGATTGTTTCAATGCTTATAACTTGTAGCTCTGCAGTCTCTTTTCTTGTATCAGGCTCAGTCCAAGTTAAGAGAATTCAGATGCTTGATCTTCAATATATTTTCTGCCAAGCCTTCTGTTATTCTGCAGTTCTTACCCAATTATTTGATAGGAAATCGGTGAAACTGAGAATACCATGATAGTAAGGCACTTTTTATGACTCAAACTATCACAATCTAACTGATTATTCGGCTTTACAAGATTATATATAAATACAAAGAATTACTTGCGATAATGTCCTGCACTTTTTTGCAAAACAGCTAGAACATTCTTAACTCATATCAAGTTAGCAAACAGAACTACAAGTTTAAATTTATATCAGTACTTGAAGCTAACAACTAGTGTTTATGTTTTCTATAATTAAGGTATACTTTATTCTTTAATTTTACTTTAATTCATAGCATCATTTGGAATATTTAGTACAAGCAGTTTTATTATTTTTCATTTTTTATACTGTTATTATAAAGATTATTTTGCATTGTGAGTTCAGTACATGAACTTAGAACTAACTTAAATCTTTCGAAGCTGGTCAAACCTTGTGAGATACTACTAGGCATACAGCTGAAAATATTGTTAATAGCGAGACTACCTAACTGATAAAACAACGCATTCTAATTTTTCTAAGTAAGAACATAAGTATATCTAAGTAGCTGTACTAATTTTTATTGTTATTTTTTTATCTAAGTAGGTAGCTTACTCTGATCAAAAGTTAACATTAATTTCAATATTACTTGCATTGATGCATTACTATCAGAACTTGTTTTTCAAGGAGACACACACAGGGACTAGAGTTCTGAGAAAATATGTCTCTCCTTTCCTAGCTTGTGGGAATCTTCTTTTTTTTTCACTACACTTTTGCAATTTTTCTGCCTTTGTGATGAATTATGCACACATAATAAAATAGTTCAGGTAGGCCTACTTATGTAGTGCAGTTGGTAAATGGGCTTATGCATTTAGGGCCATGGTAATTTCCTTCCATTGTAGTGTGTGCTAATATTAATATTCATTATATGTTTGTCATTCAGTTGATCATCAAAGATTGTCCAGATTGCACATTGTAAATAATTTTTTGTGTTGGTATTAAGACTGGATTACTATTCATTTCTGCCTTTAAAAAAGTTCAGTTTTTGGGAATTGTGCCTTTAGTAGGAAATCTATAAAACATACAACAGACACATCTTGAGAAAACAGATATCAGCTTGGAAATATAAGTGAAGCAGTGATGTTTAAGAAGCAGATAAAGCCAGCAACATTTCAGATATTATATTCTTACCATGGAAAGTTGCTCCGGCTGCCCTAGTAAAACCTGTTTCCATAACAAAATAAAAACGATTAAAAAATCTAACAAAAAAAACTATTTAAAAAAATAATACAATTCAGAGAGAGCAAAATCAAATTAAAGAAACAAGAAGTCAATTTAATAATATCAAAAAGACAAGATTAAACTAAAATTAACATAAAATAATAACTAAAATTCTGAATAGAGAAAAAATAAATCATATTTAAATTTTATACAACAGAAAATGAAAGTCATAGAAATACTCAAAATTATATTAAGAAGGGTAACTTATACTGACCACAGCCAATACTTGAAATGCCCTTCAAATAGTCTAAGGTATTAATAAAAGGTAGCAAAATAAAAACAACTCTTGTTTTAATTTGCATGTTTTATGCACACTCCGTAATAAAATATCAGGCAAAAGAAGTTAGTTTTAAAAAAAACAAACTGATATTTACAGCAAAATACAAAGACTGCCATAGAGAAGGCAGCCATTAAGCAATACCCTACCATCCATACTAAGGGGTTAACTGTCACACTTATAATGGACCCACAGACTGAAGTGTGGGGAATGTTTTATGGTGTTTCACAGATTCGAATCCAACTTGCCAGTTTTGAAATCCAGAGTTCTACCCCAGGGCCAACCTATGCCCTCATAACAAACTGAATTATAATTATTTAGTAGGTTCTCCTCAAGCATTAATCATATGAAAAAATTGTCAGGAATGGATGCTACCAGTGTCTGAGACCATCAAACCGTATTTTTATTGTAAAATCTCTCACATCTTATATAGATATTTTTTCCTTAGAATTTTTTTCTTGGATGTCCCTTCTTCTTCTTCTTATAAGGATTTTAATTTCCAGCTGTAGGAGAACATTCTAATATTCTTTGGACAGCATCCATTGAAACACTACGTTTTTAAGTAATATACTTCGAGCATTTGTTTTAATGTATAAGAAATACCTTGTTCTCATTTTTGATTGCTTAACTTTAAATTAATTCCTTTTTTTTTTTTTCAGTTTTTAGCCATGCTGAAACTTGTAAACTCTTTGCCACTTTACTAGTCATTCATGAAATTAATTTAATGAAAGTAATTGTGTTCATGAATGAGAGGTTTCATGCTGCCAAATAGCTGATGTGAAACTTTACCATTGTATATTTCTGGATGGCAACATTCTTTCCAAAAATTTTCTGAATTTTCAGGCATAATTCCAGATTTTCAAGACCAGTACATGCGTGTGTGTGCAACACACATACACTGATATTTCAACTTTTACTCATAATTCTACCTAGCTAACATCACTTTAATTCGTAATCTAGTAATGAATGGTAATAAAGCTTCAGACTACAGTACTAAAAAAAGAACAATCTTGAAACAAGGACATTGTAACTTGATGGAAGACGATAATATGTTAAATTTTCATTTATAAAACATTACATGATCTTACCTATTATTAAGTATAATGAATTAGATATTTATCACCAACTAAATAAAACAGAATGACTGACTAAGATTATGTTAAAATACACCAATAAGCTAAACAACATGGTTTGCATAAGCATGAAAATTCCAAGATATAAGAAAGGTACAATTATTTTAACATTCTGACTTTTTTTCTTCAAATTTTCCACCTTTTTGAGGCTTGTGACCACCCTTCATTTATGTATTGTTTTATTTTAATTATCATAAAATATGTATATATAAAATGGAGAGAAAGAGATAGCAAAAGAGGCACTATTAATGTTTTGTCAACAGTTGTCCTCATTCTGACAGGTTTGTCTTTTTCTTTGTGGACTCAGACTTAGTTTCAGTAATGTAGGTTAAAAAGGAATTAATAGACAAATGTTTTACAAATGAAAATTTTAATATCTATTTTATCAAATTATTTAAACAAAATGAAAATAAGAAATCTTCGATTTTTAAAAGTCGGAAACTTCAATTAAAATCTATGATTAAGAAAAACATTCAAATTCTTAATAATATTTCATAAGCTCATTGATAAATAGATGAAAATAAATTGCACAGAAATAAAAAATATATATATATATATTCTCAAACACCAACTATATTAACTTTGATCCTTCTCATTCCTGGTTTTCTTCAGGTGAAAAAAATGCAAGTTTTAATTAACTAAATTTTTTTTTTTGTTTTTTTCCTATTTACCCTGTTGGTATTCTTATACTCAGGAAATTATTTTCAATTGTTGACAAAACAAAAATCAGAATTAATTTTATGAACTTACTTGATCCAGTCATAAAAACCACCTCTGATGACAATGGGCCATAACCTTTATTGTTTCGAGCTTGTATCTTAAAGTAATATGTTGTGTCAGCAGTTAGTCCCTTAAGAGTAGTGGTCATTTTATCCCCCACTACTCCTTCTACTACCCAGTCTATATCCTTTTGAGTGTTGTCTGTGGTGTAAAAAATCACATAACCTGCCAAAATATGTAACTTTTAGAATTTATACATAATTCATATGCATAGTAATACTTCTACAAAACTGAAAAAGGACCATTTTCAATAGTTTTAACCACCTATGGTACCTTAGAACTTTGAATTGCTTCTGCAAAGTTCCTGATAAAGATCTGTACTAATAATTTGAAATGTTATCTTCAAGTTACTATATGTGGATGAAGTTTGCTACACCAACCAAAACAAATTATTGCCTATCACTTAAACCTTGTTTAAACAATACTTTTTATGAAATGTGTTGCCAATATTAGTATTTTCAATTAAGATTATACAAATATATCAAAGAAACTATTTAATGAAAATAATTTACCATACAAAAATAAAAAAAAGAACAATTGGTGGATTTGTGAATGAAAAAATGTTACTACTGAACGTAAAGAATGTCTTCAAACAAGATGTATAGTTAATTATATTTGTCGTAAGACATTAGTATTAGGCCTATTAAATTTTTATGCACTATATTTTTAAGTAGCCCCTTGAGGATTTTCAAGAATTAGAAGAGTCTATAATAACAGTATTCTAATCAGCTGTTTGTCATATCCACTGCCGACGATGCCTTTCACTCAGTACAGAGATCTTCAGGCCGGCTGGGATATAACAAACACAATAGTGGTCAGAACCCTATTTACATAGTTTATAAAAGGTGTGAACACCATAACAATTGTTGTTGTACAAAATGGCGTAAAGTATTGAAATTTATCTAATAATTAAATTTTTTTTTAAAAAACAGTGTCAGTGTTCTGCTAAGTATATCTCAATACTGCAGTAGATAATTGAGTGTACAAACCTGTAATAACTCCATTTGGTTGCTTTGGTGGCTGCCAGTGAAGATTAATGACTGAGGAATCACTATCCAGAGGAACTACAGTCAGATCTCTGGGAGGGGATGCTGGAGCTGTAATCACAAAATATTAGGTACTTAAAATGCATCTTTAAAACTTAAAAAGAGAATGTTGTAGTTTCAAACTTCAATACTTGTGCAAGTTACAATTACAACTTTAAACCTGTAATTAGGAAGTTTTCAAATGAATAATTGTTACTTCTTTTAGCTTCATTTCTCTAACTCCATTCTTCACAAAAACTATTCATTGTTCAATATACGTTTCTTTCTAATTATGGGTATATTATTTTCACCTACCAGCTTCCTGGGTTGTGTTAAGGACACTCATACTCCATGTACTCTCTTGTCGGCCAAGAACCACTTTCACAGAAAACTCATACTGGGTGTTGGGTCTCAAGTTGTCAATCATGCAGTTCAGATCTGTAGAATTATAGTGTCTGTATCGCAAGTTACCAGAGTATACATAGGGTGCATAGCGTACAGTATAGAACCTGTTGTCTGTAATCAGTTGATTTCGAGGAAGTGTGCTATCAGTCCAATAAAGAACGACAGTTGAAGATGATAGAACTATAGCTTTCAATCCCACAGGAGGAAGCATTGGAGTCAAGGGTTCAGGAACTACAAAACAATAAGGGAAACAAAAAATAATACAATATGCATTTCATCTAGAAATATATAATAAATATTTAAAAAGCTTAACCAAGTCGAACATTTTTTAGCATTTTGGAAATTTATTTGCCTTTGCTTCAGATTTAATTTGAGTTTTGAATTTTGTGATGACATACATATGCATATAATATGAAATAAAATGGGATTTTATCCTTTACAAATGACCTGTTACATCATGACCTGAGTAATCAGATGTTTTTGTCATTTTTACTCATTACTTTATTTTGAATTATCACGTTGTTTTTTTTTCTTTTAGATGTCCCAGATTTAGTGATTATTAATCCTTGAGTGTCCTGGTCTGGTTGCCCCAGAAAAACTATGGCATTCCCTAGGGTGTACCTTATATGAGTTTACAGGATATCCCAGGATATATCAGTACACCAAGGCATGATGTAATGGATCAAATATATATATATTGTTCAAAAAAGTCCAATAATAAAACAGAGCAAGAAAATTTCAAAATTTATCAGTAGTACTTTCAACCCATCTTTTGTTCAGGTATTTGGGCTTGTTCATACGTTTTCAACTAACATGTTGCCATTATATTATATTGCATAATATATGAAACACTACTACATACCTAGTAAAGGCATTTAAAACTTACACATAAGTTATGTTAAAACAGGAAGCTTAAATACAATGTAAAAATAAAAACCACAAAAGAAATCAACAATGATAAACTTACTGCTTTCTATTGAAGTTCGTACTGTTTCATATATTGGTCGCCCATCTCCAACTTGATTGAATGCCCTTAAACTTATTACATATTCTGATGAGGGTTCTAAAAACAAGATGTATGGGTTAAGCTCATATCAGTGAAATTCAATCATAGTTAAGTACAATAATTATCAGAAAATAGCTAAGCTTTTTTCGATATGTTCCTATGACATTCCCAAATATTACTGGTTACATATTTTTATATAAACACTTTCTTTGTACACTCTTTGAGCATGGATTTTACTATGTATTAAAACACAAGTACCTGTAAAAATGAAATGTCAGTTTTGTAAATTCATTGTATTGAAAAAAAAATTATATTTAATTTTGCACACTGCCAGTACATTTTTCCAGAATAAGAGAGCTTTATCTGTCTGTAATTTATAAATAAATGCTCATCTGTAATCCAGCATTTAAATTTTTATAATAAAACATGACTTACGAAGATCTTCGATAGTGTAGTATCTTTGTTTGCCATCAAGAACTTTTGTATATACATCTGGAAAACCAACTCCCCAACCAATGGTATAACCTCTTATCATGATATTTTGATTTCTTGGTGGAGTCCAGCTCACAAAGATAGAGTTTGCTGTTGGTCGTGCACGAACACTTTTTGGGCGATCAGGAACTACCAATTCTTAACAAAAGTACAAGCATATGTGAAAATCACATAGACAAGAGCACAGCTTAATTACATGCACAACCTGGAATACTTTCAACTTAGTAGCTAATGCAGATTTGCAGCCTTGAAATTAGAACTGCCATTTTCCAGAGTAATAATCAATGAATTAGACAACATTTTCATTTAGATTATTCAATCTTTTAAAATTCTAGCACTGTCACAGCTACCAAAAATAATTAATCAAAACTTTTATCACTCAAAATCACAATTAACAGTACCTTAGTTATATAGTAGATGTAAAATCATTTTTAAAAAACCTACACATATTCTTTGTTTAAGACAATAAACTTATAGAATTCAAAATTAATCATCATTGTTTTGGAATATTACATTTTTAGATTTTTCAGGTATTACACATATGGATATTGTATATAGGGCATTTAGCAACACACTGCATACAATACATTATATATATTGTGCAACATACTATTATAATATGGTGAACTACTCACAATAATCATAATATGATGCACTGAAATTACACACTTGCTGAATAATTTTCTCCATATGTTTGAATAGATTTTTTCTAAGCACACTATTAGTTTAATGATTCCTTATACCCACTGTTTATTAATATTTCACATCCTAATTATCATCAGTACCTGTAATGTGATTTGTTTAGAATTTTAAAAACCTTTCTTTCAGTTCTGCTAAGAATGTTTTAACAGATATTTTATACTGTGAAGCAGATATGCTGTACCCATTTTTCTATTTTTGTCCACTAATTTATATAAAATCTATATCTAAAGCCTAAAGACATTTCTATTTCACAATGCTAATCATTTAAAAACTGCATGCATTGCATATATTTATACTGAGATAATACCACAAATGATACATCTTATTCACCAGTTAGGTGATACATCTTACTGCAGAAGTTCCAAGCCTCCACAGTGCATCTATTTTATAAAAGTAAATTTTATCACATCATTAATAATAATCACAAGGAAATGAAAAGTATGATACATCAGCCTCCCCAGTGGCTCAGCTGTAAGTCTGAAGGCTTATAATTTAAAAACAGGATTTTTGATACCTGTGTGGGCATAGCACAGATAGTCCATGGTGTAGCATTGAACTGAACAACAACAATTTGATACATCATTTGTGGTTTGAATTTCTATGGAAAACAATTCTTACTAACACTAGGCATACGATTAGGTTAATCCCATTCCAATACTAATATGTTGTAGCACTGTAAAATGGGTGGAAATCAACCTAGCCTGGATGCAGCTTGACTTCAGGAACACCAGCTTACACTAGTGGCTTGAGACTGATGTTCTATCCATCAAGGCACAAGCACTTCCAGCTCTAGGCAACCTACACTTGACCTAGATCATTACTACAGTTCTTAAATCTTTAACACCACCTTATTAGTTATACACTGAATTAGTTCCAAAATACAGATGATTTTAAGTTAAACCATTACTTTCTAATCATTCAATTATATTACATAATATTAGAAATTGATTGTAGACACTTGTATGAGAGCTATGTTTTATATATTAGTTCTATCATAAACTGAATGACTAAAATATAGCCTAATTTTCACTCTAGAATTATACTTCAGTGATAATAATAAAAATATTAACAATGTGTTTCCACATGTACCATTCAAATCATTTTCAAATGTTTCTGTTGAAAGCCAATCTGTACTTGGACCACTGCCATTTATGGAAAGAGCTGCTATCCTAATGCTATATTGTGCTCCACGCTCCAAGCCTAAAAATTAATAATAAAACTATACATAAAGATTTTAAAAACTACAATGAGCATGAGGTGAAAGGATTAAAACACATTCCAATGTTCTCAAAAAAAATTGTTCCTGTTTTTTCAGAAATAGAAAGTAAAAAAAACAAACAAATTAATAAAATTTGTTAACATAAAATACAAGCATCATTTTCTGCTGTTTTAAGCTGAATTATTTTTTTTATACTCAAGCTACAGTATGCCATTGAATAGGCTCTACATTTTTAATTATGGGATAAGAGTAGCCCCACAGAAGGCAGATGATAATGACTGGTTGTCCTCTCTCTGGCCAGAAATTCTAAATTAGGGATGGCTATGTTTGAACCTTATAGAGGTCTCTGACCTGGCCATTTAGTCTATGTGTTGCACAAGGTGCTGTTAGGATTAAAATATATCAAATACCTGTAAAATGCATGGATGTAAAACAGTATTCAATATTAATAATACTCAAAACCTGTAAACAAATTCATTATGATTATAATATATACGTGTACTAAACACACATTTGAGTTCTTGTCTTGTTAACATACAAAATTAATGTACTACTTTTAATGCTAAACTATTATTTATGTAAAAATTTAAATAAACATATATCTGTATCTTTTGTAACATTTTCCTGGTTTGGTGCGTCAACAGAAAGTTTACTTACCCAGGGATCAATGAAACTTACTTGTTAAAGCATACAGTCGTCTATTGCCATCAGTGGTGACTGTGTCTCCCCTACGGCTACCCTTCAACTTGTAACGTATTTTGTAACCAGTGATAATGCCATTCTGAGATTCTTTAGGAGGGGGTTGCCATCGAACAATAATACTCTGTTTAGAGTTGGAAGAAATATTCAATATTCTCATTCGTTCAAATATCAGTCATTATTCAAAATATGAAGAGTTTATCAAATCTATATGGTTTCATTCCTCTTTTTCAAGTTTTCAGGAATTACTCTCATACAATGACTATACAATATTTCCTGTGCTTACTGTAACAGTAAATTTTTAAAATAAAAACATATTAAAATAAATTCAACAGCACAATTGTATTTAAGAGACAAAATTCAGGAAACGTTAAATTTATCTCGCTAACACTGTAAAAAAGCATTTCTTTACTACCATAACTCCAGTGACAAATTCTGAATGGAAGACCCAATATTATTAAAAACTTATCTATCTAGTAAACAGAACTAAGCAATAATAACTATAGTTTGTTTTTTATTTAAAGGTGAAGCAAAATGTATTAAGACTGGGGACTGTCCTTTTGTAATTGAACAAATAAACATCTTATATGGGGCTGAAAATATGATAAGAGTATCACACTTCACATATGCTTTTTTATAAGTTATAACTTTATGTTATAATCAAACGGGTCTTTTATATATATATCTAAGTACAAAAAATGTCACATGCAGAAAAAAATACTCACCGTTGAGCTTGCAGCTTCAACAGTGACATTTTGTGGTGTATCATCTGGAGCTATATAGAAAAAAAATAGAATGGAATAGATGAAAAATGGAGTAGATATTTTGACCAAATACATACTTACTTCAAAAGGCCTAACATTTATATTAAAATTATGTAAGATAGTAAATGTATTTCAACATTTCTCTTAATTTGTTCATTTCAGATTTAATATCAAAATGTGTTAAAACAGAACATTGTTTATAGAGCAAGTCTATAACACATATATACACAGATATATGGCAAATACATACAAACAAATAAGGAATAAGGTATTTTATAATTTATCAATTATACCTTAATATGGTAAGCATAGTACTTGTATAAATAATATAATGATAGAATAAGAACCTATATATATATATATATATATATATACCTTGTATTTTAATAGACCAATTAGAAACGAGTTCATGAAACTTTCAAGTGAAAGTATTCACAATCATTCTTAATGTAAACATATAAGACCGAGTGAGATGATACAAAACAAATTTGAGAAACTGGTTAAATAGTTGAAGAGTAGTTATGCCTTTTGTTCAAATTCTATGGTTTGTGTTACACCAAAACTTTGTTAGTCAAGTCAAATTATGAAATACAAGTAAGTATTTGAATCTGTTTCTTTTTTCCTCTATGTTATAATACTATTTCATCTCAGAAAATATGTTACCATAGAGCTCATATAACAACATAATTAGTTATATGACACACCTATGGTTGACTAAACTAAGTTGACAGTCTAAATTAAGAAATCAATTTTTAGTTTCCAGAACTTACAATAAGTGATAAATAAATGATAACTATGTTTAATGGATTTAATCCACTGATTTTCATACACTTAATTATACAGTTAATACATGGAATCACAAAAGCCAGTAAAATGACAAGATAAAAGATTTAGACTTAAAATATGTAGACAATCATGAGTTGATAGGTATATTCAATGTTTACATATACCCACTACCAGTGCTCGAAGTTGGCAATTCAGAAGTGGGGGTACACATACCCCCCGCATTATTCTACACTTCGAGCACTGCCCACTACACTTTAGTTGGTTCAAACAATAGGACTTATAAATAATGTGACACGGGTTCATGATCATACATAAACGACAATTTCCTTAAACAGATTAATCTAAATAAAATGGTTCTTGATTTGTATAAAATTTCAATATCATTTCCTACTAACTTCTCACATAAAAAATATACTTACTATCTGAATAAGTCCTTGCTGTTACTTCTTCTGTGCTCATTCCAGGCCCATTCTGATTAAATGCCACAACCCAAAAACTGTACTCTGTAAATTTTTCAAGTGATTTTAACAGATAGTTTGTTTCACTTGTGGTAATTTCATGTTCTTCTGAAGTACCTACTTTCATGTAATATAACTTGTACTTCTGAACTGGGCCATTATATTTTTTTGGTTGATCCCACTGAACGAAGAGAGATGTTGGTGACTCAGGAAAAGCTCGAAGGTTTCGTGCTGGGCTTGGAACATGAACTATATAAAAAAATGAAATTTCTTTTAAAAGTTAACATTTTCTAACACTGAAAATGTATTTCTGATAGGTACTTATCTCCTCTAACCCAAAGTTATCTCTATCTTGATTTGCCCTCTAAGCATTGCTAAAATTTCCAACAGCACACCAGTCTTTTATACCTCTTCATTTTTGCACCATTGCAGCAACATGTGCTGATCATGTGACTACCCTCCACCAATCATACAGCACCACCTATACTAGCACAGGCAGCTCCATCTATAATTCCAGCACAATCCTCACTTTCGACAATTATTCAGTGTGTCATGTGTGGTCAATCTAGGCAGCAAACATCCAGTGGAAGCACCTTGCATAAGAAATTTATGTCATAATCAACAAATGCAATCATCCTGGGCAAAGTTACACAGGAGAAGTGCCTTGGATTGAGAAGAGTATGGTATTGCCTAATATTAAATAAAATAACGATAGCCCTCTTCTCACTGAGTTTGTACATAAGAGCAATGAATTTTGATTTGGTTAATCATACAAACCTCGCTCCTGAAGAAACTTCCATGGTCCACCACTCCAGTGACTGGGAACCAGTAGTGGCAAGGACTCACGTGCTCCACAAAAAGAAAAAAGGGGGAATATGCATTGGGGAGTCTAGAGGAACTACACACTGAAGACAGTGTAATGGGCATCTGTATTTTCCTATTTTGAAAATCAGAAAGACCCTGATTGTAAGAATCACGGGGTCAGTAGGGATGAATAAAAATCCCTATTTGCTTTACTCAAAAAATTAATAAGTGACAGTCCAGGATATATATATATAGTGATAAAAAATATATATAGACATATCACCAGATAAGTGACCAGTGGTCTTACAGAAACACCCCCATCTTCACAATGGGTATTATAAAAGTATACATATTTAGTGCTAAGATAGAAAAATCTGCATAACCTGCCCAGGCAACACATGCCACTAGGTGGGATCCTCAAAATACAATAGAAAGCAACAGAATAAAATAAAAAGGAGTAATATTATGTCAACTTAACCCAGTCAAAGGCAAACAGGATGAAGACAATACCCAACAACAGCCAGGTTGTGCAGATAATGTTCTATGAATGCATTGGGAGTTGTCCAAAAAATTCCCAAATAATCTCCTCCAAAGGACAGTGGATCCTAGCAGCTAAAGACATAGTTAAATGACATATTTGGTGCAGATAAACATTGTGAAGCCATCGACCTTCCATGTCACATGAATTTACAAACAAAGACAGTAAGGGTAATAGGAGATATATCACAGGAAACAGAGGGATTCCATGGAATAAAAAGGCAAGAAGGGGAACCACAAAGAGAGTCATTACAAGACACATAACAATGCAGGGAACGAATGGGACAGAAAAGACAATCCAGATCTGAATGAGAGTATATGTGGGAAATAGGAGATAAAAGCTAAACAACCTTCATGGGCAGCAGATGTCTTAGGAAGGAAGGCACAATCTGGATAAAGGAGAACATAAGAGGAATGGTAAAGAACAGAACAATGATGACCACAAGCCAGGAGGAGAATTAAATAGAGTAAGATGATACAAAAAACATGTAACAATGGGTTCAAAAGGAGGACCTGACAGGGCATGAAGAACCATATTGATATTCCAATTTGGAAGCACAAGAGGATGGGGAGGATGAACTAGATGAAAGGAACAGAAAAGGAGCCAAATAATAGGGGAGGAGAAGGATTTACAAAAATGGAAGAAACAAAAGGTGTTGGACAGGGCAGCCCAAGAACTAGCAACAGTGGACACGAACAAACCTTGATCAAATAACCAGGTAAAGAACTGGGACAGATAAGGAACAGAATGATGGAAGTCATGAAGAATCGACCACTGTCTGAAGATAGACCAACGCTCCTGGTACATAGACAAAGAGGAAGGCCAAATAGTACAGGTAAGTAAAGCCACTACACAAGGGTTGAGCTGAGGTGATGGACCAGATAAAAGCCACGCATGAGGCAACTGGGATGAAGATAAGGATGTTGCTCCAATAAGGGCAAGAGCAGAGAGAACCATGTCTGAGCTGACCAATATGGAAAAACCAGCAGAACACGACAAGGAGTGGTCTGGATGAGGGAAACAACACTGGAGATGAGTCTACTTGGAGGTTGAGCATATAGGTGAAGGCCCCTCCAACCTTGACTGAATGTATCCACCCCCAGAGTTGAGAGGTGTGATACAGGAGATCAAAAGGAAAGACGTTTGGCAATCCAGTTAATGACAAATGGAACTATATGTGGTGTTCCTAGGCAAGAACACACCTACTGAAAAACCTGAGAATGAAGGGATTACTCCGTAGGAAGAACTTGGTTGGAACAGGACAAGCGGTGTGCCACCAGATTCATAATCCCAGAAACATGACACACTAAGATCTTTATGTCATAGTTGTGGGCACACAGACCTGAACTTGGTGCCCCCTTGTCTGGTGATATAGCTTATGACAGTGGAGTTGTTGGAATGAACCAGAACAACCCGCCTCCGCAGGAATGGGAGGAAATGATTCAGAACCTGACAAACTGCCAAAAGTTTTAGGAGGTTGATATGGAAAGTAGCCTCGTTGATTGACCACTGACCCAAAATCTCCGGAGAGTCTAGGGAAGCCCTCCAACCTACCAAGGAAGCATCTGTGAACAGATGAGAGTCAGGTTAAAATTAGAAATGGGAACCCCCACTGTGGTCAGTTCCCTGTCAGGCCAACAAACAAGGTCGGCCCTGATCCCTAGGGAGAGGGTGATAGGATGGTCTACAGGTTCATAGGAGAAGTTCCACTGGTCGAGAAGCGTCAGCTGAAGGGAAAGCATGTGCGTTCAACCCAAGGAAGTTTGAGATTATAAGGAAGCTTGCATCCCCAAAAAAGACAAAACCTCCCGAGCAGTAAGAGAAGGATAAGATAGGGCCTTTGCTACTGCCTGCTCCATATCCCTGAGTCAAAGTAGAGAAGGCTGGGCCTAACTGAGATGGGAATTGAAGAGAACCAAATGAATAAGCTATTGTGTGGTGGTCAGAAAATACTTCTTCAACTTGATGAAAACCCACCCGAGCAGACTCACAAAGAAGTAAGCAGTTGTGAGTGACAGATTGGGCCTGGGAAGAGGCAAGCAGTAGCCAGTCATCCAAAGACCCGACGAGTGAAGATGATGAGCAAAAGAGCAGACTACTTGACATAACACATAAGGTGCTGAAGCAAGACCAGACAGTAGTACATGGAACTGAAAGACACAATCCCCATGGACAAACCAAAGATAACGATGTGACTCCAGTGCAATGGAAATATGAAAATAAGTATCAGTCACATTGAACTTGGTCATCCAAAGTCCCGGGGAAAAAAACCCACCGAAGGGAGGTAGGACTCCATAGTGAAGCAGGGTGTTTCCAAAAAGGTATTCAGCTGGGACACATCGATGATGGATCTCCAATCTTCCATCTTTCTGGGAACAACAAGCAGATACGAGTAAAATCCCAGAGGAGGGGACATCACACGTTTGATAGCTCCTTTGTGTAGAAGGTCTCAAACTGACTTTGTGAGATAATTGGACAAGGTACGATCCCAAAGAAGAGGAAAGGAAATTGGGAAAGAGGATTGGGGGGAAGAGGACCAGAACTGAAGGCAAAGACCCTCCAACAGAACCTGTAAAACCCATGGATCTGTCATGAAGGGTCTCCGAATGGTTGAAAATCGTTGCAACCTGGCCCCATCAGTCCTTGAAAGGACATCCTGTCACCTATAATGCTGACTTCTGTAGGAATGGGAAGAATGAGGGTAAAGATGGAAAAGCTTGGAGTAGGTTAAAGGACGGGGGAGAGGAATAAGGGGCATGGGGGCCTGGACAGGAGAAGACTGGGCAGTAACAGCAGGGCAAGACAAACGAGAGGCCAGGGATGACAAGGAGGAATGTAGCCTTGCTACTTTGACCATGGGCTACAAAGACTCATGACAACTTCAAAAACTGGGCCTTACGAATATCTCACAAAGAAGAAATGGGAAGATGCACCCCCACAAGTAATGCATCCCTGTCCAACAAATCCCAAGAAAATAATAACCAGGTGTTGAGACACAGTGCCAAAGCTGACAAACAGACCATGGTAGACCACAAGAGGTTCCTGAGCTCAGCAGAAAATTGATAAGTTGACTGGTAGAAAGCTTGAGACAACAATTGTACAGAGGAATGAATACGTATAAGGGTGATCAAAGCAAGGCGAATCCAAGAAAACTGGGACCAATTAAAATGGATCTAATTTTTAGGAATCGAACCCAAAAAAAACCAGGGCCAGGAAAAAGAGTCTAAATTGTCTTCATCCAGGATGAAAGTCTTCCTCAGAGGAATGTTCCTGAGGAAAGGAGAATGAACTGAATATCTAGTAAAAGTGTCCAACTCCCTGCAAATGAAAGCTTGAAATTCCTCAGCAGACATCGCCAACCTGCTATACTGGGGACTAGTGACACTACTGTCTTCAATATTAGCAGGAACATTCTCATCCACCAAAGTAAAACTTCAAGGTCATAAATCAAATCCTGCTTCAAAAAAAAAAAAAGAAAACTGTAGAAAACAAAAGTAACTGAAAGTTGAAAGCAAACTCTAAATTCAAAACATTAAGTTGAAACTGGTAAGTAACCACAAACGAACTAGCGGGAGTCACAGAAAGAACAAAGTAAACACACGTCTATACACTGTGTAATGGTAGAGGGAGCTACCTGAACTAGTATAGGTGGCACAGTATGATTAATGGAGGGTAGTCACACAATCAGCACATGTTGCTGCAATGGTACAAAAATGAAGGAGTATAAAAGACTGGTGCATTGTTGGAAATTTTAGCAATGCTTAGAGGGCAAATCAAGGTCAAGATAGCACAGTTTCGGAAGTATAAACTACAAATTCATTACAACAATAATCTTTCAGTTGTGTTTAGTTTCTATACCTTACCTATCATTTCACACTAGTATAATGAATACAACAGACAATGGTATTATTACTGAGAAAGATCACCCAGATGGTTTATCTGATACCCATTTTAAATACTAAATGTTAATAAGGGTCTAAAAGCTTCCATTTTTTACATTTATAAAGAAAGTAATCAAAATAAGCCATGGTTCACACATTAAATGATAGAATATGCACATGGACAGAGATAGAGTTTGTATGTCATGAAGCACAATGCTAACACAAAGGGCTATCTGTGTTGTGCCCAACACAGGTAACAAAACTCTGTTTTTAGCATTATAAGCCTTCAGACTTATTGCTGAGCCACTGGGGTGTAGACAGAGAAAGACAGAGAAAGAACTATTAAAAATACTTACTTTATAATTCTATTATTACTGAAATTTTGTTTACATTTTTATCAGAAAAAAAACGATATTGATATTTATGGTAGATAAACAAAAAACAAAAACTCCTAATGCAAGGAATTACACAATTTTATTATACCTTATTATTTATGTTAACTGTTACATTTTTTTTTGGAAAGCACATATATGACATGTATTAACGTTTTCTTTTTCTTGTGTGTGTGAAGTAGGAAGGTCACAAGATTAGAGAATGCTTAAAATATTTTCCATTTGGTTAAGTACATTTTGAAAGCAAAAAACATAATAATTCACAGTCAAATATTTTTTTTTTCATTTGAAACTAATGGAATTTAGGTTAAGAATACTACTTCAATACGAGTATTTTCTAATAAATTGTGTCTAATTGCAATGGAAAACTGTTCTCTGTTCTAAAAGTTCAAACAAACCATTTTTCTCCCATAAATGTGCTTTAGTGTTAAAAAAAAAACATGCCTGCAGATACTGCAACAATTGCAGCTTAGACAATATGTATACTCTTTTAATAAATAATTGTTTTCTTTTTTTAAACATGGTTGGAAGTTATGACTTTTGAATTTGTCACCACAAAATGTTGACTAATTCACAGAATATTAAATGTCAATAGATGAAGATGTTTTTAAATAACACTTCATTTGATTATGTGAGAAATCAAAGCTTCTTGTCTTTATTTGTCATGCAAATATATTTTACCTTCTGGGTGAGTCTGTACTGTGATTTCCTCTGAACTTTCACCAGGCCCATGTTGATTGTAGGCCACAACGCGTATAATGTAACGGGTTGAAGGGCGAAGTCCTTGCACACTCACATCCTCTAGTCTTGGTCGTGTAGTATTCAGAACTCGTTCCCTAGCAGCAAAATGACAAGTTAGCTAAAACTATATAAAAAAATGTTTTTTCCTAATTTTTCATTCTTTTTTTTTATGGAAAAGAAATAACACTATGGAGCCACAACTGAGCTTCATCAAGAAAAAATATATAGAATTATTTAGTGTCATACTTTCCATTAAGTATCTTTACATTAGTTTTAAGTCTATTTTAATTATTACTGAGAGTTTATGTGTAATAAAAACTGCATTGTATTAATAGGTGACATTTCATATAATTTTTAGGTAACCTTGGATTACAAAATGCTTGAAAGCAATAATTTTTTTTTCCAAGCAATATTTCACTTTTCTTGCTTTCAACACATTTTACAAATTATTAATATTTCAAGAACAATATCTGTCTCCAAACCTGTAATGATGCTCCCATTATATTAACAAGAACTTCAAGGAAACTTCAAGATATAAAGCGCACAATACACTGACCCAATGAACAACCAAATAAGCCAATCATAACATAGCTTTCAATCAGATGATGCAAGTCAATACTTAAACTATGCAATGAATCAATGTGTTCTGGCCTTGTAGATTAGTAGCCAGCAGTGTCATAACTTAATGACTCAACGTGTTGTACAAGTTTGACTATACGTTGAATTGGGTGATATGTCATGATACTGTTGGCTGCAGATATACAAGGCCATCACAAATTGATCCAACATGCTGTGCATTATATTATGACTATACATTGAATCAAATTTGTTACGAACCCAATGGCAAGCCTTATATGTGGATACATCTTGTCAGTGTAATGGGTACCATTATTTAATTAAGAAAGATAAAAATTTCCCTTTTAATCTACTTCTTTTCCCTTTGCAATTGTGCAGGTTAAAAGCATGTTACTGCCTTCTGCTTCAAAATATTAGTAGTTCATATATCAAGTTGCTTCATTCCCCAACATTAGGCCATATAGCTGGTTTATTTCCAATTCACCCTTGAAGAAGGAAGGTTTATCTTTTAAACAAAGTGCTAAGATTATATATATATTTTTTGCACTTTGACTAATATACTTTTGATTCCTGTGCTTTCTTTTGTATTGTGGCTGTAACTAGTGTAATATATTAAACTATTTAATTGACTTGTAATACTATTTATATTGGATAAATCTAATTGAAACTATTTAGCAAATTATGAAATGTAGTAAACTACCAAATTGGGTGAAAGATGTTCATTAAATTACGGTTTTTGCTGTTCACCATATGGAGTCAAATAAAACATGCAGCTTTCCAAACACTACTATAAGAGGCATATTATAATGACATGTTTTAAGCTGTTAATTTGAAAAAATGACCAAAATTTTGGAAGATTTTACACTTAAACACTCAAAAGAACCTTCTAAAAAATATATATCATGGAAAAAGTTCCAACACCCTTCTATTTTTTAACAAACTCTCAAGTTTCTGTTAAAGCTGTTAATCTAATCAAAAATAACTTTATATAGTTGTGAAACACTGGTCTAGCCCCTCTAATAATTCAGAACCTCATGCTATAATATTTCTACAACACAACAAAAAATTGCATATTTACCCAAAGGCTTTCTTATTGTGAAGAATGTCAATGTAATTTTCAATTGTGTCTAAAACTTTAAACAAACTATTTTCACAAACACATATATCTTAGTATTAAAAACATATCTACAAATACTGCACAATTAAAACACAAACTCTTTTAATATTAAATTTTTTCTGTATTTAAACACTTTGTAAGTTTAAGAGCAACATTTATCTTCAATAATATTGACAAGAGCATATACTTGAAGGAAGCTACAAATGTATATGTCAAGCTATCAGGGCCAGAACAACATATCTGTAATAGTTAAACTTATTAAATGTTAAGCTTGTCTTTCCTTAGCTTATACTAACATGTAATTAAATAAACAAAGGACATTATATATATAGTACTGTAATTAAAATCATTACCAAAGGTAGGATGAGAAAAAAAAGTTTTCTTTCTGCTCAAGTTATTAATTTATCTCACCTTGTGGATGAATCCTCTCTATAATACACGGAGTATGCAAAGATGATACCATTTGTCCTAACTGGCTCCTGCCAAGAAAGGGTGATGAAACGGGTGGATACAATAACTGCTGACAATTGGCGTGGTGCAGAGGGCACATCTTTGCTTTTTGGGAGGTCTCCTAATTTGTTGTTTGAATGAGAGACAGTAATAGATGGATGGGTTGTGGGGCGAGGAGATTCTACATGTTAGTTTTGTTAATGAATCATACAAAACCCCATTGGTAAGGTAGTGTTATTCATATCAGAATTTACAAAATCCCACAAAGAGTAAAAGATCAGATTCATGTATATCATGAAATATTTTTCACAAGATTAATATTTTTACAATCAAGTACGAAAATTTATACACATATACACAGAGAGAAAAAAATTAGTAAAATTATGTGAAAAAACATTTCCAGAGGTGCCAAAGTTTTAAATATTGAATGCATGAAACAGATATCAAAGCAAAACAGTTGAGTTAGTAAAAGTCATCACACACACACACACACATATAAGGAATGCAGATTACAAGGAAGGAAAAAAAAAGAAAAAAAAGAAATATAAGTCACACCATATATAAAATGCATATAAACATGCATAATTATTACATGCATTTTTTTTACTTTGCAATGTTTCTATGCAGGTATTTGTAATAAACAATAAGCTATTAAATTCTAAGTCACAGTTATCAAACATCTTTATTCTACCGTTTGGTGAATGTTATAAAGTGAAATCAACAACTAATTCCAAATAAATGCAACATATTAATATCTTACTGTTCCAGACAATTAGTATCACTTTACAAATACACTCAATCTAGCCTCTGATCACATTTTTTAACATTTTGTTCCTTCTTGAACTGCTGAGTAGAGGCAAGGTAACTGGCTGCATCATCTGCCACCAACACTTTTGTTTTGCTTTTATATACCATAGTTTAAGGAATGCTGTACTCATCAATTAATTAAATGTAATCATTTACTTGGGCCATCAATGAATATATTAGCGAATACTACTGATTACCCAGCACTAGTCTTTAGTTCATGAATGTGTTGATTTTCAATATTTTTACAGTCTGTGGGGACAATGAAAACAGACAAGACTACCATAATAATATAATGGAAAGTTAAACATGACACAATATAATTATTTTCATGAAAACTGATACTATCAGAATTATATTCAATCAATCAGAAAAACTAATTTTGATTAGTTGATTATTTTTGTGGCAATTAATTCAACAATAATTTTGATTAATCAACTGATTGAATAATGGATTAGTTTATGTGACACTTTGATGTAATTGATGCTCAAAGGCAATCAATTAATCTATTAAGTCACCCAGCTCTATTAAAGACTGAACTATATGGTCTAATATAAGTTTTAAACCTATAACTTGTGCATCATTCCAAAGTATTTGTTACTCTATAAAACATTACTTGTCGTCAGATTTCAAACTTAATTAATTAATTGTACTGATACAAAAGGTTTTATACTTTCATACTTCTCTGTACAACATCTCAGTCATACTTACTTAATAGCAGCATAAAATAAAACATTTCACATAAAATAATAGTTTCACATGCTATCTGTAAAAAAAGAAAATCAACCACAGGCTATTAGCTGTTTTCTACACTGGTTTAAAAACAAAAACTTCACTAATATAAAACAACAAAAAGTTAAAAGGCTTTACCTGGGTTTAAAATGATTAATTGGGCAGATGCCTGGACATTTCCAGCTGGATTTGTACCAATGCACTGATACAGTCCCATATCAGATCTCACAAGCCCAAGAATACGCAGATTGTACCCATTAACAATTTGAAAGTATTCACTTTGAATAATGGCATCACCATTTTTAATCCAATGAACAGTGGGCTCTGGTTTTCCATAGATTTCACATTCAAACTCAATATCTTCCTTCTCATAAGCATATTTGTTATCTGGATATTTCACAAAGCGAGGTGGAACTGGTAATGAAAATGTGAAAGGAGTTTATTTATAGGGATGAGTATTGGCATTGTTACTGAAAATATCACAGTCAGATGATCATGATACAGTAAAGTTTCCAGATGTGTATTGAAGGTTAATAGATTTGTGTGAATAAATAACTTTTAGGTATGCAAGCAAGCTAGTAACTTAATTATCATACCTGTGTTCATACTTGTTTGAAATTAGTAAACTGATCTGTAAAAGTGCATCTGATGATGATGGTAGATTTCTAATGTTCTTCTATTATACCTAAATTGCAGCTTTCTAACTATGTTCATTTTTGCATCTGAGATAGTTAAAAACATATTTTCAATCACAAACATGCATGATCTTAATATATCAGAGGTAGTTGTAGATAGGATTGAGTATAAAAACAATCCAAGTTTTCTCTGCATAAAAAATTACTATTTTTCCAGATTATTTACTTACCACTACCAATGAAAAAAAAAAAGTGTTTAATCACATACAGCAATTGCATTGCATAACTGAATATACCTAGCTCCTTTATTCTTTGCTGTTTTATTTTGAACAAAACATTAAAAATATTCCTGTTGCTACAATAGGATTTCTTAACTTTAGAATATTTTTATATGGCCAATAAGAATACTTTTCTAGAAATTCTAAAAGATGATGTGTATAAAACAAGTTTTTATATCTTTACTACATTGTTTGTATGAACAATTGAGTCTTTTAAAGTTTATCATAAGGCACTACTTCATATATCAATCAGTAGCCGAAAAAAATTAAGGTTTGATAGTTTCAGCATATTTTGCACAAATATTCCATATATACAATGGACTGTGTAATAGATCTTCAAAGTTGCTTAAGTTTTTCTTATAAAGTCGTTATAAAAGGGTATGAAAAAATCATACAAAAATATATAAATAAAAGAATATATGCATATTTGTTGTCTGAATCATAGTTTAGTTTCCTGAACTCTTGCAAACACTGTATCAATTAACACATTAAATCATTATACCAAACAGGATAGGGTCTGTGTGGTTAACGTGCTCGACTCACAAACTGAGGGTTGTGAGTTTGGATCCCTGCTGCTGAACGTGTTCATCCTATATGGTTGCTGACTGGGCCAGCCACCCAGGTGTAAAAATGCGTGGATTACAAAAATACAGCCCAACCCCAAACTAGTTGGAATTAAGGTCATAATGAAAAACATAACAGAATAACGTCCTTCACATACCATCAGAAAAGACAACAACACAAAAATAAATACAAATTAAGGAACCATTATGTTATTTTACAAAATAGAATAACACCCTTCATATATCATCAAAAAACAAAGATAAGTTACTGAACTGTTGTGAATTTGTTCTTATGAATATTACACATGGAGCAAATTTAATATATCATAAATCCATTGTATATTACTGCAGGATATTGAAAGAACAGAAGCTATGTGGATTATGAAGCTATTTGGCAAAATACTCCAGTTGAATAAACACTGGGTGGATGATCATATGCACTTCCATTAATGAATTACTTTTTACCCAGACATAATCCCAGCAGACCTATAACTAAGACTACTTTTACTTGATGGTCGGTTCCTCCAAACAATGAAATTCTAAATAAATAAGTAGTACTCAAAAAGTTAGCATATTCAAAATACCACAGTCATCCAATGTCTATAAAGCTTTTTACCTGCTAGATCTAATGCTTTGTAGTTTTCTCACTGTAATGGTGCAAAAACAAGTTAGCATAACAAATAGTTAATGTACCTCAAATAAAGTTTGGGAAAAATGTATACATGCATATTTTGATCATGGTTAAGACTTTCATGTTGAGTTCTATTGGAGTGTTAGCTTGGGCTAAATACACGTTAAATTACTTGAGTAAGGAAGTACATTATGATAATATAATAATAAGTAGGCAAACAATGATTTATAAGCATAAGGAAGAGTTTTGTTGATGGTGGAACAAACTACATGTTTTGATAAAACATTGGTCTGTCTTGTTCAGGGATGATCTGTACTAAGAAATACACGGTTTATATATAGTTTCAAAGATAAAAGACACAACTATTAAATGTGATGGAAATGATGTTAGCAGGTAAAGATCATGCCTGATCAAGTATACGAGCAGTGAATAGATCTTGCCAAATATGGCTGATGTTGCTAAGGTTATTATCACAGTTTAGTGAGAGATTGTTTGCTTTGATGATTTCTAGAGTTTCTAAACAATCTCTTTCTTTTTTTAGTTTTGGGTTGGTGTAAGAGGAAGAATTTCATCCCAAAGTATTTTGTGAACTATTTCAAATTGATGATATGTTAAAGCGAATATCTTTCTCACTTTTTCCACCAGGGATATCTGTCAGTGGTGTGAGGAATTCTTCATAACTTGAATAAAGCATATTTGTAATGAGGTTTACAGTGTGACTATGTAGCTCTTCTTGTTTCTCAACTGACTTGGTTTCATAAAGCAAAATGTCATAAATAATATGGACTAGTGTCATAAAATGAGCTTCATCTTCCTTCTCTAAATTTAACCTCTCTATACTGACAGTGAGGTTGAACAAAACCTTCAGAACTTTGCCTAGAGGTGATTTTCAGACATCTGCTTTAACATATCATCAATTTGAAAAGGTCACAAAATACTTTGAAATCAAAATTTTCTCCTACATCAACCCAAGACTAAAAAAAGAAAGAGACTTTTTAGAAACTATAGAAATCATTAAAACAAATTATCACTTACTAGAATGTGATAATGGCCCTAGCACCAGCAGCCATATTTGGCAAGGTCTATTTACCACCCATACACTTGATCACTTGACCTTTACCTATATTCTTTCACCTGCTGACATCATTTCAATCACATTTAATCCTTGTGTCTTTTGTCTTTGTAACTATATGTAAATCTTGTGTTGCTTAGTACAGATCATACTTGAATACAGACAAACCAATGTTTTGTCAAAACATGTAGTATGTTCCACCATCAATAAAACTCTTCCTTATGCTAATAACTCATTGTTTGCCTACCTATTATTACATGCTAAATTAACATAGCTTTTGTTGCAGTGGAAGTTTAATTTCATATTCTGGCTTGATAAAATGCTTGATTAAAGTGATTGGTAAACTTCAATTTAAAAACACAACACCTTTCACTCAATGTTTGAGTTCATTTCCAACATACTCAAAATACTTGGCAAGTGATGTAGAAATTTTTAGCTGCACTGTTTATAAATTTTAATACTGTAATACTGTTCTGTGTGTAATGCTAAGTCAGTAGCAGGAACACTAGTTCATCATAATCATAACTTAATTCTGAAAAAATGTGCAAACAGAATTTAATGTATCATGTGGCCAGAAATCAAGGTGTTAAGGTGAAGATTAATAATCATTAAAATATGAAAAATAACAGTAATAATGAATAATAAGAAACAAAAATTCTAAACTTTAAGTTGGATTCAGATTAAATGAAGTCACAGTGACAAAAACACTGGCACTATACTCTTTCACAACGTAGCCTGAAAAGTGTACCTTGTACTTCTACAGTTGCACTTGCATCCTCCGAATCAGCATGGTTCTCAGCACGGCACATGTATGTTCCTGTGTCTTCTTCACGAATGTTCTCAATCTGAAGACTCCCAACTCCAACTGTTCTAAAACGGCTGTCCAGGAGTCTTTAAGAGGATTAAATTATTTCAGTCAGAACAGACATACAAATACCCAGTTTCCAAACCATAATACACACATATTTGTTCAAAAATGGGTAACCTCAACCAAACTGGCTAAAACAGATACTTTCTGTTCTGGCAAGTAGAAGACACAAAGAAATTATCTCAAATATTACTCCGAGGCAAATTAAGCAACACAGCTTCAATTATAAAAAAATTACATAAATACCCTCAAGCACATCATAAAATACAAATATAAACTAAGTTGTAGAAGCAGCTTACACTAATAAACATAACTTAAATCACTGCAATTACAGGTGCCATGTGCCACTTACATTTTGAATATTTGAACTGACATCTAGTAACATATCATATTAGCACTATGATTATACAGATGTATTTTACGGCAGTGATCAGATGTAATCTGCCTCTTATTTTAATTGAAGTTTCTTGCAACATATAGATATTACTTCTTATGATATATTGTCAAAGGTTTTCACATTTTGGATTAAACAGCTAGTGAAAATTTTAATAATGTACAGAAAAAAGATAATGATGGAAACATTTCAGAAAATTCAATCTAAAGATCTGATGCTTACGCAAGGTCAATAGTTACACCATCTTTCAACCAAGTTAACTGTGGGCGAGGGTTTCCAATGGCTGCACAGTCTAAAGTTACATTACTGCCCTCTGAGGTTACAACACTTTTTGGAGCAGCAATAAACTGAGGAGATGCTATTTTGTTGGCTTCCCCTAATATGGTGATAAAATTTTATACTATTTTTGAAAAAAACATAATTTAGTTAAGGATAACTAAATACAAAACTTAATACAGTTAAGGATCATTAAATTGAAAAAAAAAATTTACTTGAATCCACAATCCATAAAAATACAAAATTTTCTCTAAAACACACACACAGTTTACTTTACATAGTACATTTTAATTACAACACACACACACATCTGGTCATTTTTTATGTTTACAAATGGTTGTACTGTTACCAACTGAAAGAGAAATGTAAAAATATATTTACCTGCTACAAAATAAATTATTACTAGTGTTAACTCTAAACAGTGGTGTGAATTGCCACCATGCAACAACAACAACTAGTCGTAGTCATAATTGCTGCATAGTAAATTCGAACCACTATTCAATTTAACATATTAGTTAATTTCCAATTATATTAGCTTCACTCAAAATATTTCTCAATCAAAATTGTCAAAAAAGTTGTTACTTACTCACCATAATCTAAACTTAATGTTAACGTTCCTCCTGAACTGACTCGGAACTTATCAATATTGGAGGCATTACATTTGTAAGTACCAGCATCTGAAATTTGCACAAGGTCAATCTCCAAAGCCCCACTAGGGAGGATTACCATCCGTGTGAGGTCTAACACTAGTGGTTGTTCATCTTTGAGCCAGGTGATGTCGGGTGGTGGAATTCCCTGGATAGTACAGAGAAAGTATGCTGTCTGGCCTGGAAAAACAACCACATCTCTCGGCTCCTCTTCAAACCTGAGCAAAGCTGAAAATATATGAATTTTAACATACTAAAGTGTGTAATATGAGGAATATGAAACTTTCAAAGACTGTGTAAAAATGAAATTCAACAAAAATCCACTGATGATAAAAACACCAATTTAAACCTTCATCACAAATATAAAAACAATTCATTAAGAATAAAAATTAAAGGCAAGTAATTAATGTTTCAAAAATGGGCAAATGTTACATAAAATAAAATTATTATATACAATTAACCTCATAGCAAGGTAAACATACTGACTCAGAAACAAAAAATACTAATAACTGAGGATGTTTAAAAAACAACAAGCCTCCTATTGGTGCAGCAGTAAGTCAAAAGGCTAATAACACTTAAAACTGGGTTTCAATACCCGTGATGGACACAGCAACAGATAACATATCGTGTAACTTTGTGTTTCATTATAAACAAACAAACAAAAAATAAGATTCTATGATTAGATTATGATATCAATATTTTAGATATACTACAGCGTGGTC